CCTTGACTGCTGGTTATAGGGCCTCTGGGGTGGTACCCAGTGTAGTAAGAGGGCCTGGGTCCCCCTACCAGTCACTGGGAAGGTGGCCTGAGTCTAGAGAGGGAAACAAGGATGACAGAGTGCCTTGAGAGAAGGGTGGGAGGACAACGGGGCCTGGAATTTGGGCTGAAGACCTTGTTATAAGGGCACTGGATTGTTCATTTGTGGGACTTTGATACCCTGAAAGGGGAGAGACTTTGAAGTGACTTGGCTGCTGGGTCAAGCCACAAGAAGGGAGACCACTGCAGGGCCAGAGCAGCTGTTGGCAAGGAGGCAGGAGACAATGAATGAGCAGCTATGCCAAGCCCAGCCACAAGGGGCAAACCTGAGGTTAGCATACTCTTCTACAGGAATACTACCTGGTTCCTAGACCTATACATTACATGGACTTTTTCCATTAGTCCAAAAATTCAAGAAAATCTTGATTTGGTCAGAATTACAATGAGTTTTGTAATCCCATTCTTGTCCCTAATGAAGATTAATGTGAAATTTAATTCACATAATTAAATTGCCATTCTAATATGATTGGCAGGTCTAAATCTCTGCTCACAAGGTGCAGAATAGTACAGGCGTTAGATGTCAGGATTAAGGCTCCCTGGGAAATGTGCATAGAGATGCATGCAGTGATCTTATACGCAGATGAAAATCCATTGACATCAGTGGAGATTCTTAGATTTACATTTGTGTCACTGAGGGCTGAATTTGGCTCACAGTGCCTAATGAGTTAATACTACTTCTCTGAGTTTATTTCTCAAATAACATTTTTAAAAGAAAAAATCCTGAATGTAGTTTTACCACGAGAGAAATTCTTCCCTTCTGGGCCGTAGATGAATTGTGAGCTACTATATCCCTTTTTTGAAACATCCACGGGGAATGGAAAAACCACATGAGCCTTCTTGTGACAGTGAACAGAGACACATCTTGACAAGCGATGGACTACCTTTATTGTTCAAGTGATGTATGCTGGCAACTAGCATCATCTGCTCTTGAAGTAACGTGGCACTGAGTCACTTTACCTTGTGTGACTGTTGATGAGTCAATTTTGCTCCCTGAAGCCACGCTCCAGATGCTGTCTAGTTTTATCTGACTTATACATTCCAATTTATTTTTAGTCATTTGCATTCTGCTTGGTTCATGAAAGTGTACTTTTGGTGTATTTTGTCATCTTTACAGGCTATCAGTTGTAGCCCCACAAAAGAGGTGGAAAGCATACCCATATCCTCCTCACATGAAGCGTCCCTAATTTAGAACCAAAACTAGCAATTCTTTAAAAATGCTAGCCCGTAAAGCAGATTAGTCCTGAGACGAGCTTTGATTCACACACTGGCTATTTACATAGGATTTTCTAGGGACAGGTGTGGCCAAACCTTTCTGACATGTGGAACCTAGAATAATAAAGAATGAGACTTCAAGTTGCAAGTAACTTTCAGGGCTGCTGCTTTCTCACCACCATAGCAAGCTGCCTTGGACTGTATGTGGGGGGAGGGGCGGATGTTGAGGGTGGGAGATTATTGTGTGTGTGTGTGTATGGTCACTAATGGTTATGTGGGGTAGAGGGAGAAATGTGCTTCACTTTTGTTTAGTTTTGTAATGATTCTAGATTGTATTTTTTAATTAAAATGGCAAGGTCACTTACAGCCCAGCAAAGACATTCTTTTATGTTGCTGCATTTATATCCAAAGAAATATACACAATTTTCGGGTGAAACACTCCATTATTACAGCACTCAGGCAAACTTCTTCTGTGCCTGTAACTCACAGTAACAACAGGAACAAATGGAAGCACATCATTTCATGCTGAGCTGCTAAACTTTGGCCTAGCTGCTGTGCACAGGTCATCGGAGCTGCATTTTGGCTAACCCTGTTACAAAAGTCTTAACAATCAACACAGCTAAAGTGTGAGTTGTTTTCATTTTCTTTGTGGGAATCATAAACAGGGTTGTTTACTGCAGAAACTTCCAATCAGTTATAGATATCTGCAAGTTCACTGAAGGTAATGGGACAACACAGGTGTCTGAGAACATAATGGGAGTATGCAGTGTTGTTGTAGCCGTGTCGGTCCCAGGATATGAGCGATATAAGGTAGGTGAAGTAATATCTTCTATTGGCGAGAGAGACAAGCTTTAGAGCTTACAGAGTTCTTCTATGTAAGCTTGAAAGCTTGTCTCTTTCACCAGCAGCAGCAGGTCCAATAAAAGATATTACCTCAATCCCCTTATTTCTCTAACATAATGGGAAGTCAGCTGAATTGCATAGATATAAATGAAAGCATAATTTGGCCTTTAGAAACTCCAGGTTTAGAGGTCTTACAAAGCGTGCAGATGCAAGTGGTTGGTGATCAGCTGATGATGTGTGTGAATAAAGAACCTGGCTTGACTTTCAGAACCCAGGATGAGTTTGCAGGGCTTGCCCTAAGAAAAAAAAATCTTTGTGTCAGTAAACTGAACTCATCTGGTATAGAAATAGTTGAGCAATGTCAACAATGGAACTAAAAAGAAAAGGAGTACTAGTGGCACCTTAGAGACTAACCAATTTATTTGAGCATAAGCTTTCGTGAGCTACAGCATCCGATGAAGTGAGCTGTAGCTCACGAAAGCTTATGTTCAAATAAATTTGTTGGGGTACTTGTGGCACCTTAGAGACTAACTAATTTATTTGAACATAAGCTTTCGTGAGCTACAGCTCACTTCATCGGATGCTGTAGCTCACGAAAGCTTATGCTCAAATAAATTGGTTAGTCTCTAAGGTGCCACAAGTACTCCTTTTCTTTTTGCGCATACAGACTAACACGGCTGCTACTCTGAAACAATAGAACTATATACTGTATTCCCGACTCCAATTTTAGAGTAAAATTTTATTTGAAAGGTTTCAAATTTTATTCTGGATGATGTATATTTGAAAAGTTTTGGATGGTGAACACTGAGAATATACTTACTTTTTTTTTTTAAATAACCAGAGGGTGGAACCACTTCCAGACCTCTTGTCTAGAGCCTTCTAACTTCTCTCTTTATGGTATTTTGTTTGCTGAAACTTAATTTGATGATGAAAAGTTTATTGTAGCTGGATACTTTTGCAAAGCAATTTCAGACATTTTGACAGTCCCTTTCAGTCAATTACTTAATCACATGCATTTACTATTTTCAGCACTTTGGTCCTGATCTTGCTTCTTTTGAAGTCAATGGAATCACCAGGCCCCTCAAACAGTTTCCTTTGCTTTTGAGAGGGGCGTATCTGGACTATCTGAATATGACATTTTTGTTTAAAGTTGTGTGAGTTGCTTCTTTTCCTCTGTAAATTTCTAGAAATCTCTTACTATCACAACATTTTAAAAGCACTTCTGGAGATAGAATCCCAAAATATATCATCCTAGCTTTCAGATGAATAATTCATTAGCTTAAGGTAGAGGCTGTGCAGGAGAAAGGAAAACTTAAAATGACTTTTCTTTAACAGGTTAAAGGAAGTTGTCAGGTTGTTTAGTCCTATAATATGGCCTACTTTGAATTGTTGTGATTCGCCATGGTATGTAGCCTGAGTTCAAAAATAAGGAAAATTTAAACAAAAAAACCCCCTAAACCAAACCAAATGAACCCTCTACAATGTGATGTTCTAGCTGAGATGCTGATGTCCTAGCTAGAGATAAGCAATTTATTTGAGCATGAGAGTCAGCGAAAGCTCATGCTCAAATAAATTGGTTAGTCTCTAAGGTGCCACAAGTACTCCTTTTCTTTTTGCGAATAGAGACTAACACGGCTGTTCCTCTGAAACCTGTCAGTTACTGTTGCTATACCTACTCTAACTCTGTTTACTGGCACATAGTATTCTATATAGTATGTTAACCATAATGCCTATTTACTCAGACACCTACAACAACACACATGTACCCTACCCAATATAGCATTCTATTACTGGTGATTTTTTGTTTTAGCTTAGAATTTCTCTCTATTCTATTTTTCCAAAGTATTTTTTTTCAGATTTAAACCTAGATAATTCCTTAGTGTCATCAGAGAAACATTATTGTAATAAGCTAGAGTTTCCTAGGTGTCTTATCAAGATTCAAAATTCACACTTACAAAGCAAAACACCTTTTATAAATGACAAAACAAGTTAGGTAACATTTTCTCTGGATCAAAATTGTAGCAGCTAGGTGCATTTGACTTACAGCAATAATTTCCTTTTATTCCTGCACAACCAGTTGTAAAAACTGATAACCAGCTTTAAATTTGTCATCCTAAAGGATTAGCTTTAAAGCCTTATACAGAACTATAGAATAATTCTTTACACAGATATATAGAGATGCAGTGCATCTTTTTCTTTCCTGATTGGTGGATTCAGAGTTCTTGTAACAAGTGAAAGTGCAAGCGCCTGGGTGTTCAAATGTGAACTCCGTGAATGTATCTGTAAACCAACCTTACTTTTCACTCACCTTCAACACTTTGTAAATATATTTCAAAATTTAAGACAACATAAATCCTTTCAGGGTCCAGCATATATATAATTAAGATTTGAAGTATCTCTGAGACTAAATGGACAAGATCCAACACTTGTGTCCATCAGGAGCAGATTAGGGTCCCACTCCATCTGTTAAATTGTTTGTGATCATTTGGAAAATAATCTCTTCCACATTAGCCTTATCCATTTCTAAATTGCCCTAGAATAGTTGCATCTACTGTAGCTGATCTCCAGTTGTAATAAGTGGTCTTGAACAGGAAGCACTGTCTCTCCACAAAAAGAAAAGGAGTACTTGTGGCACCTTAGAGACTAACCAATTTATTTGAGCATGAGCTTTCGTGAGCTACAGCTCACTTCATCAGATGCATACCGTGGAAACTGCAGCAGACTTTATATATACACAGAGAAGTATATATAAAGTCTGCTGCAGTTTCCACGGTATGCATCTGATGAAGTGAGCTGTAGCTCACGAAAGCTCATGCTCAAATAAATTGGTTAGTCTCTAAGGTGCCACAAGTACTCCTTTTCTTTTTGCGAATACAGACTAACACGGCTGTTCCTCTGAAACCTGTCTCTCCACAATGGCTTATGTTTCCTGGAGCAGTATTAAACAATATTTTAAGCAGTGCCCTGACTTTAAAACTAATGAGTTACTGAGGCCAACATACGGAGATGTTAAATGATGTTAAAACCAGTTTTACAAAGTGTTCAAGACTAGTGTGCTAAGGGCACAGGCCATATCTACATCTGGTGCAGGGAAAAAACATGTTTCCCCTCTTCTGCTGACCTCTGAGAGGCAGCTACATGCTGCTCCAGCAAAGACTCCCTTTGCTCCAGCAAAGACACCCTTGCCAGGTGTCCTGCTGCTCCTTTCCCCTGGCATGCTGGGTTGTTTTTGTCCATCGTGGCAACATGGTCGGAGAGCATGTAACAATCTGAAAAGGAAAAATATTTGGGATTGAATCCTTTTTTGTTTCTTTTTCTTGTATCAATAAAGCCTGAAAGGTATTTCTGTTTTTTTTTTCTTTTATAAATGGTTGGAAAAGATGAAGACGGGTGTTCTCATGTTTTTACATTGGAAGTGCAGGTATTGTACACCTTAGAAGACTAGCTTGATCTACATTAAATTAGGAAGTCTTCACAATATTTCCCATCAGTTTAGACTAACAGCAGTATTAACACCACCAAATATTCAAAAATAATGGATCAGGCTCATACAATTTACAAGAGTCACTTATATAATTATGAGATTTAAAAAAATAATAAATGTTGTGTTCCTTTCATTTGACTGGTCTTGGAACCTTTAGGGTTTACATTTTCAAGCTTTTCTCCTCAACCATGAGGGTTAGAAACATTTTAGAAGCCTCACAATAAAATCATGAGGATTAGGGATGCCTTGAGACAGCAGTGCTGCGATAGAGGTGTTCAGCTGCTACCAGGCTGTAGACAATGTCTGAACATTAGAGTGCTTGAAACGCCACCCACCTCCAGGAGTTCTGTCTACACTAGAGTACCACCATTATTGCCACCAATGAAGCTAAATCAGGGATAGTAGTGGTGAGAGAATTTTAGCAATGAAAACCCAGTGTAGACACCAGTATTATGATCCAGATAGTAAAAAATCATGAGTCAGCTCTTAACAAAATAATAAGATAAAATAAATACATTGGGTTTCTTTTGATTTGCCTTCTGGTTTCTGACCCCTTAAACTGCACTTGGGTCAGATTTTCGAGCTCCAGTCTCGCCAACCAGAAGGTCTAGAAAGTTATGTTTGTTTTTAAATGAAAGTTGAGGTGCTCAGGTTAGCACGTGTAGGCTAGAGCTGGGGTTTTAAAGACAAAAACAACTGTCAGGAACAGAAGGGAATTGGTTTTATTCAGACTGTTGGAAAATGTTTTTTTGGATTCACAGCCTTCGAACACGGGCAAAAAGGTCAGGTTTGTTAACACCTCCTCTCCCAGCTCCCTCATTTCCTTTTTGCCATCACAATAAATGGACACCCAATACAAAGCCATGTTCTAAACCAGAAAAATGATCGCCCCGCCCCCACACCAGTGGGAGACTACAAGTCCCAGCATGCAATGCTCCGCCAGCGTCTCACAATGCAACTTCTATACCCCAGCATGCAATGCGCCTCATGTTCTAGAAAAACTACACGCCCCAGCGTGCTTTGTTATAGATCACTTCGCGCGCTTCGGCGCATTGCATGCAGGGATTCGTAGTCTTCCAAGCCTACGCTTCTTCCCTCCGCCTCTTCCCCTCTGTAACCGCTGCCTCAACGTCCCGCGCACGCTCTGCGCCACGTACGCTGTGACATCGCCCGAACAACAGCGCGAGCCTGCCGGAGCCAATCAGCAGCTACAAAATCGCGTCGCTCGGGCGGCTCGCGAGAGCCTACTTGAACTTTGACCTCGCCCCAAGCGCGAGCTGTGGCCGTCTCGGGTTCTGTTCCTTTCCCCTCCTCCCGCCTGAGCGAGGCCGCTCCCTTCCCCCCCCGTGTCACCAAGTGGCGATGAGCCTGCCCCCCCGGCGGCGGCCTCACTGATCCCCCTCCCTTCTCGCTCCGCGCCGCCCCCGGGGACACAGCCGCCGCACCCAGCCAGCGCCGTCCCCCGCAGCGGGCGAGGTGGAGCCGGCGAGGCCCAGAAGACGCCCCCCACCGGGACCATCAACATGGCGAGCGCCTCTTACCACATCTCCAACCTGCTGGAGAAAATGACATCCAGCGACAAAGACTTCAGGTGAGCGCCGGGCCCGTCCCCTCCTTGCTCCCCGCCCGCCCGGAGCTCCCCGCGCAGGCCCCTTCTCTCGCCCCTGTCTGCTGAGCCCGCTCTCCGCCTGCGACCCGCGAGGCTGCTGCTGTTGTTGCCCCTCCTCGTGTCTCAACCCGGGCCTGGCTGTTGTGCCCCCGCGGCAGGAGGCCGATGACTCCGGGGCCTGTGGCTCGTGGGCAGAGGCTCGGCTGTCAGGAGGGATGTGCGGAAGGAGTGCGCCATTCCCCCGCTCCCCTGTCTGGAAGCATTGCAGGGGGCGGTGAGCGGGGGTCTGGGCTCAGGGAGAAATCCCAGCCTCCCCGCCCCCCAGGATTGCCCCGAGTTTTCTGGCGCCCAATGAAAGTTTAGTCTCAGTTGCTTGGCTTCTTCTCGGTGTCTGTGAAGTGGCGAGACGAGAGCTGAGTGCGCCGCGCTCAGAAGTCCTGCTGGGGTTGGGACGTGGGGAGCCACAAAGGGCTGACCTCAGTAGTTGGTGACCTGCCTGTGATTTCAGTCCATTAGGTCCATCGGGAGGCTGTCCCACGAGGGTAGGGTTGAAGTGGATAGAAAAGCGTTGGTGCCTACTAGCCTTGTTGCACCTGTTCGGTGGGCAGAGGGTTCCTTGCTCCAAGGCCGACCACGAAAGTCCATGCTTAAAGTTTTTGTAAAGGAAGCCTAATGGAAGATTATAGCTGATGGAGGAGAAAGTGACTTACAGTTTAGGATTTGTCACAACAGAACTAGAATTGTGCAGGTGCACTCAAATAGTAGCTGTTTGCTAGTAATCATAATTGTACATCACTATAGATTAAAGAAGTTGTGCATATAAACTTTGAATATTTGACAGTGAAATTACAATTTTCAGTACGACATAAAGACATAAAATATTTGATTTGTTTCATTATAAATATATTGTAGAAAACAAAGTTGAGGTTTTGTCTCCATGCATTAATTTTTTTAAAATAAACATTTCTTTAACCAGCAGTGGAAGACTAAATGTGTCAACTACTGAATACATCAGGTTAAAAATCATTAAAAAAATTTGGGCATAAGCTTTCATGGGTAAAAAACCCACTTCAGACATCTGAAGAAGTCGGCTTTTTACCCATGAAAGCTTTTGCCCAAATAAATCTGTTAGTCTTTAAGGTGCCACCTCCTGATAATTAAAAAAATTATTCCTTTGCTTGTATTAAATAGCTTAGAAAATCAAAGTTAAATCTAATTTACATCTTGTGTATATGGTACATTTGCATTTAACTCAACATGGACAATAGATTAATCACTTATTTTTGTTAACAGGAATTTTCTGGTAAATCTGATTCCTGGTTCTCATGGATTACCACAGTGCTACATTGTTTAGCTTGCAATCACTGAGAGAGAATACATACATCCAAATAAAACTATTTCAAAGATCATTTAATTAAATTATTACAAAGATCTTTGTATAATAAAATGGTAGGTGAGCTCTGGTTTTCAATTTACAGTATATAGAAAACTTTGTGCACTCGATAAAGCAGTCATAGCATTTAGAGACAAGCTTTATTAGATTTAACTATTGATACTTAGTGGTCAGATTCTTCAGGTGAGTCTTTTGCCTGATTAGATAACTGGCCTAGAATGTTGTTTTAAAAATAAAGCTATAGCTCTACAAATCAAAGGAGTGATGCTATGTTTAATATTTTTTCCTTTCTAAATGATTTAGAAGACTAATATTGTAACAGTACAATCTAACATGGAAAATGGTGTTTCAAATGTTTTCTGTTAAATCTTGTTTCTTCATGTTAAGAACTGTTTAAGTTAGAGCTTTTCCAAATTAATTCTTTTCATGCGATTAAATGTTTTATATTTTGCATTGGTGAGGAGAGTGGGTAGCTTCTAATGATATAGCTTACCACTATACTTACTGATTTTGATGGGTTTAAAGTTTTCACAAAAAAATGGCCTGTGTGAAAACTGACACAGTATTAGCCTAGAAAGTGCATTTTTCCAGCCAAATGTGTTTAAAGTTTCTTTGACAGTTTGAGTACAAACAGTAGAAGTATATTTGTTCTAAGTGTTTTTTACATTTTATTCATTTGTCTATATTGAAAAATAATTTTGGACTGTTTAGCATGTTTGAATTCCCAAACCATAAAAGATATGGTTAACAATTCAGGTTTGCGAAGTGACTTAAGTACTAACAATTTTTCTTAATTCAGTTTTATGTATTGTGAATCCAGTAAAATATTCGGAATATGTATTTGCATATTGAATGGAATCGTACATTAAGAATCTGCTTTTTAAGTCCCCCAGTGCTGTAGATTTTTTTAGTAATGCTTAAACCATACCTTAAAGAGGGATGGTGGAGATGCACACTTTCTATTACCAAGGAAGGACAGAATTAACTACATTAAATTGATTTACTTGTTACATTAGTAGTATTTTGTAGCCATTTGCTTTAACTGTCCAATCAAGATTTTGTCCTAAACTTTACATATTTTGATACTAGAGAGACAAGGTGGTTGAGGTAATATCTCTTTTTGGACCACTTTCTGTTGGTGAGAGAGACAAACTTTCAAGCTTACACAGAGCTCTTCTTCAGCTCCTTTTTGATACTGTCATTTGACATGTTTTGATCTCAAAATGCTCTTTTTAGAATTTGGAGCTCCTGGATGCAGCCCATGCAGTAGCAGGCAGATTCTGTTCCCCAGGAAGTGTGGGATGACAGCTATGGTGAAGGTGATCTTTTTTGCAGTTGGGAGTCAAGGCTGCTGTTGCACTGCTGAAGTGCAAGATGAATTGGGCATTGGGAAGCTGCTGGGGACAGGTGCTGAGGGAGTCTATAGAACCTGGAGCTGAAATAAATGGGAACTGCTAATAAGAAAAGCGAACCCAAATAGGTGTTAAGAGGGCTTAGGGGAAAGATGTAGAAAGGGCATGAGAACTTGTGTACGGTTCACTTGACTGTCTTAAACCTGGTCTATGCTGGAAAATTAGATTGAGTGATTTAGCGAGGTTAAAAGAAAAGGAGTACTTGTGGCACCTTAGAGACTAACCAATTTATTTGAGCATAAGCTTTTGTGAGCTGCATCCGATGAAGTGAGCTGTAGCTCACGAAAGCTTATGCTCAGATAAATTGGTTAGTCTCTAAGGTGCCACAAGTACTCCTTTTCTTTTTGTGAATACAGACCAACATGGCTGCTACTCTGAAACACAGCTAGGTTAGTTCTCTGAAAAATCTTGTGTCCAGAGTGGCACAATTAGACTGACCTAACCTTCGGTTGAGATGCAGCTGAGTCAACAGAAGAATGACCTAGCTGCTGTCTTTCAGAGAGTTGGATTAACTACATGGATGGAAAAATCCCTCCTGTTGATTTAGGAAGCATCTACCCTGTGGTATTACAGTGCCATAACTGCATAGACATACCCCTGGTCAGCATGTCCCTACTTTTCCATTTCCTTCACTAAGTTCCAGCCTTGGCCTTCTTCATGTTAAAGTTGGTTCCCAACAGGTCTTTCCCTGGTTCTGCAGGATCCCAGTGACATATTCAGCAACTTGCCACATGCAGCTTGAAGAAACTCAAGGATACTTTCTAAAATAAAGACTTGTAGCTACACTTCTGTTGGTTTTATGTTTATAAAAGTTTGCTTTTACAAAATCTGTTTGCAGCAAATGAAAGTATTGTTTTAAACTTTGATACATTTCTGTCTTCACGCTTCCTGTGAATTCCATTTTGGATAGTTATTCAGACCTTTACTTTAACATAGTGTAAACAGTAGAAGTAAATTAAGTTTGTGATTGCTTTTGTTCTTGAGGAGAAATTACAAGATTAATGAAAGATTATTGCTGTTAGAAATGTTGTAAGAATCTTTTCTTGTATCAATTTGTTATATTCTAAAACTATAATTAGTTAAAACTGGTGCTTTTTACCCCAGAATAGTGGTAGCATTAAATGTTAATACTAAATTTGATCACTTTTCAGAGTAGCAGCCGTGTTAGTCTGTATTCGCAAAAAGAAAAGGAGTACTTGTGGCACCTTAGAGACTAACAAATTTATTTGAGCATAAGCTTTCGTGAGCTACAGCTCACTTCATCGGATGCATACAGTGACAACTGCACAAATTTGATCATGCGTGACTGAAACTGATGAGCTTGGGTTGTAGCACATTGTGAATAGTCCATATCTGTTTAGCTATAATGGTTTGGATATTCTTTTGGATAGGTTTATGGCTACAAATGACTTGATGACTGAGCTACAGAAGGATTCCATCAAGTTGGATGATGACAGTGAAAGGAAAGTAGTGAAGATGATTCTGAAGTTACTGGAAGATAAGAATGGTGAGGTGCAAAACTTGGCTGTCAAATGGTATGTGTTCTTTTTGCAGTATAAACAATTGTCTAATCTTTGAACAATATAACTGACTTCTAATTTCATTGTTCAAATTAAGTTGCATAGAAATATTCTTCTTAAATTTAACATCTCTTCAAGAGACCCTTATAAGTGATGTGCCTTAATCCTAGTCTTACACAGCTTTTTGGTTTATGTCAGTGATCCAAATTGCAATCCAGAGATCACAAATAGTTTCCATAGCACTTGCTGGTGGTCTGTGGAGAGCTAGCTGGTTCAATGGTGATGGCTCTCCTAATTTTCAGTTGCTAAATATCATTAAAAGAAGCTTAGACCTCCTATTACCTTTCCATGTTAAAAAATGCTGCATTTGCCACAGGGATGTTGTTTGATCTGTGGGAAGGTTCAAATTGCAGTTGGGATTTGGGGAGGTGAAGTATGGTATTGTGAAAAGTTCAGAATAGAAACCTGAATGCTAACAAATGACTAGGTTTGGGTATCAAAACACACAGTTAATAGATTCAAAACTTAAAATATTTCAGGCTTAGGCTTGGATAAATGCATGGAAGAGTAGGGGAGTAGTAGCAGGAGCTCAACTGGTCTGGTTTTATGTACCTCCATTGCCTCAGTCTCCCTTTTTTCCCCAATTAAGGAGTCTTCACATTGTGGGTGTTTTCTCATTAATTCTCCCTCCTCCTTTTGGAGTCTGGTTTATTAACATAGATTTCAAAACAACTTACATTTTTCTACCCAGCTCTTTTTAGTTGGCTCCTGTTTCCTTCAGGTTTATACTCCCTAGGCCTTCTAAGGAGTTAGTCTGTGGAGTAACTCACACAATCTTCGTGCTCCTTTAAGTCTTTTCTCTGACTGAGCCCAGGTTGTCTTTATACCTTCCAACTGGCTTGGTTCCTAGTCACATGCTTGTATCACGTGACTCCTTTACTGAGAGGTAAACTTATTACAGGTGAGGCTGAACCCAGAACTCCCTTAAACAGCCAGTTCGCCCTGTGACCTGGGTGTTTGTCTAGTTTGTTTGAGCTTGATCCTCTTTAGGCTTTGTCAGCCTTAGTTTGAACAAGGTATAAAATTTAATGCATACATTTACTTTCTCTTAAATATTCTAGCAGTGATGGAATTTTCTTCAGTTGTGATATTTAAAATTAGGCTGGCCAAAACAGTGGAAAATGAACTGTAGGCAACAGAGGAGGGAACATGAACTTTGTCTCAGACATATGATTTTATTATAGTAATACAATTATCAATATTCTTTTCACTGTAGCCCACAGAAGCGGCAATGCTAGGTTAGCATGTTATATAGTATTACTGCTTTCTTCAGGGGAACGAAGAGAGTGCCATTTTTTGGC